AGCAATTTTTCTGGTTTAAAACAATGTACTGCACAGTGTACTGTACACGTACCAAATTATTGCTACGTAATCCAAAGACACCACAGTTTTCCGATTCGCGTAATTATAGCAGTGCGTTTCATGAATTGTAGTTTCATGAATCATATTGTCAATGCGGTGCTTATTAACAACGCATGGCATACAGTAAGGAATCCGTTATGAAGTTATTAACACGCATTACTTGTGATTTACTTGCCAAAACCGAGAATTCATTGAAGAAGCCCAACGTTTTTTGCCGAAACGTTGTATAATAATTATTAATACCAGCTGATAATTTGCAATACTTCTATGTATCCGCAACTCGAGGGCCATATAACGTTGCCTGAAGGCCTTCGCTTACAGCAAGGTATAGCACTGCATTTCCTGTGTCGAAAGCTTTGTGAATTAAAAGGGACAGCACTTTCTTCTGCGTTTTTTGAAAAACGTTTTGGATTGGCGATTATAAAATACTACCATTATTTAACAATATATTTTAACTGAAAAGAAAATGGATATTTTGGTTTTGGATAACGTTTAGAATTTCACGTAGTGTTATCGCATACCGGTATACTTTCTTGGTTGGTTAAGCACAGATAGCGGTAGTTGCGTACAACCAAATAATCAGTGTAATTTCAGTTAACCGGCCGCAACAGCGAGCAACGCGCTATGTCTATGTGCATAAATTATGCGTCTCTAGAAAAAAACGCGGGAAACACGCGCAGTCGCGCACATGTCAAACTTGGGCCATCAAACCTGCAAATCTCGGAAAAGATCCATTTATAATCTACTCTCATTAACTTCCGGTAGCAGTCGATGAGCAGAAGATGCCGGAGACCGTACATAATTACATCAACTTTTTATCGGCGTTCTTCAAGACAATTGAACGCCGCTTATGGAACTAACTCGATAATGGTATTATGATGACAACAACGGGATCAGCGACTTCGTATTCTTGTTTACGAATAGTACTATAATAGATTCACTCGATGGGTTAGTTCTTTCAGTCTTTGACTAAATGGTCAACAGTTATTTCGTGTACATGTACAAGAGAGAAACCGACGCGTTCTCCAGATACTATAATGTGAACCACCCTTCTGCTCTTTAGATGTCATGCGGTTTATTGGCCTGATATTGATCATATTGTCCCGTATGTGCAGATACGTATCGTACTATAATCGTAGAAACTGCTGGTGTATTTATTATTTTGGGCCACTACGTTCTTTAATTTTTCTAAGTGAAACAAAAATAAATATGCACAGTAATAGCATCGTATTCCAAAATTCGACCTGTCTGACTCTCAGAATGATCCTAGTGGACAGCAAAGAGATGGTAGTCATGCACCGTATATCGTAGTCTAATAACATTTCATTAAATGAAAGATCCGACTTTGGCTCAACAATCAGTGGAATATACAGAAACTATAGACCCATAAAAACTTGGAAACCCCAGGAGTACAGAGGATTTACGCTGAATGCGCAGAACGATCGCCTAACGTAATACGAACAGAACGTCACACAACGCACTAATATTTATTATCGTCGTTACCCTGCATGCACAAGCAATGCCACGTTAGAACCGTTAGAATTTAGAACCGTTTTCTTAAGGATCGCCGTCTCCAAAAGATTTACGACTTTTGGTGAGGCATTCCCCAGAGCAGCCGCCCAGCGATATGGCGTACGCCGAACAGCATCATTCCATGGAAAGCCTAATTGCTCCCTGGATTGGTTTCCTGAGAGTAACCGGCTGTCTGCCATTCTATCGATATCCCACCAGTTTCAAGAAAAAAGCTGCACGAGCTGCTTGGTCATTACTATTTTTCATCGGGAACCTTGTGCAGTTTATCTGTTTTCGCATCCCTTTCTTCCAGTCTCTCCCCATGAATGACGTCCTCACGACGGTGCGGGTAATCTGCGAAATCAGCGCTGATATCGTTACCATATTTGGCTTGATCTTTGTAATGGCGCGATTACAGACGGTCATAGAAACCATAAGGAAGTTTGACCAGTTCGCTGACTATCTGAACAGGAATGACCGTCGCTTCCTATGGATACTTTTCATCGTGTTTTCCGCGATGAATACTGCATCCAGATTGTACTATATCTGGCAAGAAATGTCGCAAACACTTAGCCAGCTCAAATCGGATTTTTCTCCGATTAAAGGAAACGTTCGAACCAACATACAGGATATATTCTTTGTTCTGACCACTGTTATTGTATCCATCAACATTTGGTCATTGGAACTGTTTTCCTATCTAACTTACTTTTTATGTATTTTGATCTGCAGGCTATTTCTGAGAGTTAACAGGAATCTGCGGAATGCTGATGTACCGTTCGGCAGAAAAGCTGCGCTGGATATTGTCGCCGTTGATCGATGTTTAGAGGATCATGCCGCACTGACAGAGGTCGCTTTGGAACTGGAGCGAATCTTATCGCTGAACAATTTGTTTCTTTACGTTAATGACTTTTTGTGGGGTTTCTTCGGAATATGCTCATTCCGAGCTAGTATAAACCAGCCAACTGGTATACAGCCAAATAATGTACTTCAAGCGTTCCTCTACACTTTGACTTTCACCACAATTCGAACTGTTCTAATGATCGCAGCTCACGAAAAGGTAAATTATCAATTTGGTGTGAAGTGTGTTATTTTAAAAAATATTTTTTGTTACCACACGATGTTTTTATCACTTAAAAAGTTTGATATTTATGTGACTGCACAGTACAGTGATGAGTATTTTAGTCGAAAGCAGCTGGACCAGCCATTGAAGCGTACATAAACAGCGAAACCAGCAGAGACAGGAAATCCTATCTCTTCATGCAGTTTCACAGGATATCTACACGTCCACTGACATTCACAATCTACGGCATGGTCGGCATAAACCGTGCATTTATTGCCTCGGTAAGAGAAAGCTAGCATGTGATCTTGGGTTCCCCAAAGGTCATGGTCGCTCGATGTCAGTACATTGTGTATTATAGCCATAAGATTTGTTTAACGGCATCTGGGGGATTGAGCAGGTGGTTGGGGTCGTGGTAACGTATGCCTTGTTGGTAATGGAGCTTGGAAGCAACAAATGCGTCGTGCCCAATTTAACTCCTCTGATGACCATGGTTCATCACGATATTGTGGCATTTATTGGAAACTACACACTGGGAATTAATCTCTGAATTAGAAGGTCTAATGTTTTTTCTCCTGTTTGCCTGATGGTTTAGTGCCATTACAATAATCTTACTTTTTCACAGCGCAGCTGATACGCTAATTACTTACCTGAAATTACCTGATATTTGGATAAATATACCGATACATATATCGATGACGATAATAAGACATTATGCAGATGTGATCAGATGAGAAATTATAATTTTAAATAATTATTCTATGTCAAAAACAGATATCCCTGCGCAGACGTATCCACAGCCACAAGCAGGCTTATTTAAGTTCACGTACCGCTATTTAAGCAAACAAAATCTTGACGGTATACTTCTGTACCGTAAAGATATTGTAATCACACAAACTAGACAAAGCTTCGCTCACGATAAATTTTGCGGGGATACCACCAATCAAAGCAAGAGTTTTGGGAAAAATTTCATTCTCATAAAATGGTATTTAAAGTAAATAAAATGTCATGCATCGATTTACCCAAATAAACAGCCATAATATATTGTGTCGCCTTGGAATGACTGATAACACCAGTATTGCTTAGTGGTGTAACAAAGAACAATTAAATCACTGTAAGACACGCAGTTACCTCGAAATGTTAACTGGAAATCCGCTCACTACAGTTGTATTGTATGTGAAACTCGACAAATACATATGTACCGTTTTTGAAGTTGTTGCAGAACAAAGCACTAAAGCGGGAGATTCGGGCTGATGCGGTATATGAACGTATCGATTTGCAACCCCGGTAAGATGGCAAAGGACGCAACACATACCTGTGTATTTATATGTACAGTATAAAACAGGCTAATACAGCATTTACCAGCCGGTGTATAAAAATTATGCGGATTTTTTATTTAGGTGTTGCTTATAATTATGCAGATGTGTTCATTTGTTAAGCGTACAAATTATTGTTTAAGCTACTGAATTAGTATTACAACCAGTACGTACGTGTATCCTGGTGTATGGAGTAAGTATCCCGGGGAGAATACAATATGTCTACTCTGTATTTTCTCCGGTTATTACATAATGCACAAAATTCGATTAAGTCGGGCAATTTTTATATTCCTGCCATTGCTGATGGAAATTACTCACGATTAATTATTTTTAGAGCTGAATGTACACCGTTTATAGCTATTGACCGCTAATCTTTTCATGCAAGTATGTGCTTTTCATGTACTGTTCGTGCATTTTTTAAAAATATTTGAATGCTTATCGCGTGTAAAGGTTCGAAATATTGATTACAAAGTGTACTGCATCAGTATCTTGCATATTTAAAAATCTATTTAATTTCACAAGGCCACAGAAGTTGCTTATTATTGTGTGCCGCCTACGTGCACGTGCGGTAGGATTTTCACCTCAAAAACTGCACCCAAGCTCTGGGATTCTTAGAATCCCGAGGCTTGCATAAAAGTTTTATGATATTGGAAATGAATTTTGCGATATACATATGTAGGAACGTATACAGTATTTGCAAACACTTTCTGCTTGGCATGACCTCTCCAATTCGTCAGCGGTTTCCAAGTTTATTGCAACAATTTACGTATCGGTATTACATATTATAATTATAATTCTAATAATTTTTTCGATATATTATACAGATACGCATGCAGCCATCCCCTTTTGAAATAAAGGCAATTTCGCGGATGACAATGAACAGCTGGCGAAAGCTTTGCAGCTCTACACCAATCTGCATGAACGGAAACACAAATGTCCTCGTTCTCCGGAAGAAAAACGGACATGTTGTTGCGAAGATTGGCCGGAATGGCTACCGGTTAGTAATCTTTATTCGATATTGATTTATTTATTCAAGTAATTGAGTGGCATAGAAATCACTAAAATCACTATAAGCTGTTATCGTGGCTAAACACTTTCCCATCACGTTCCGCTGCTTTTTCTTGCACGTTGATACCATTGACAAGAAACAACATTTCTATCAACAAACCGGGAGATTATTGTCAACGCGGCCTGCTTTTTTCGCATCCGGTTGCTCCAATCTGCCACAATACGTAGAACATCATTAATACAAGCGATCAGCGCGCTCACCAATTCATTTATTGCTCAGTTTTCCTAACCCGTTGAACCTACATGTTTGGCAGTGTATTACACGTCTAGGCACAAAAACTTTCCAATAAATCAATTGACTGATGAAAGGTGCTTGTAGCTAATTTCCATACACACGCCGGGTAAAGTATACACGGCATTACAAATGCATATACTGTTCCAGATTGCTAATCCTCCAAATGCACCAGTAAAAGAAAGGTCAGAGGAAACACGTCATCAAAAGAGAGAAAAACCATTTGTTTCAACATTTGCATTCACAGGCAGTGATTATGGGATACCAGATGGAGATCCACCGGCAGAATAGACCGCGGTCCCAATTGCGGCAGTGCCACCGCAGTAAGCGGAGATTCTGTGATTTAGATGACTGGCACTTATTGGATGCCGGTATACTGCAGGAATGTCCGGGTTCATTATAGCACACACCCTGGCGGATCCAGCGGGGGAAAAATCGCACTCCCAAATCCGTCCAGCGGTAATTAATCGGGCAAAAAGTATACGCCGCCAAAAACTGCCGGATCTTCTTGCGGAATGACCGGCGCGCTTTCCCGCCGAATTTTCCCGGGAATTTGGCGAAGCGCAACTGTTTAATCTCCTGCGGAATGTGGTAAGTGGAATAGTCCAGACTGCCGTTGGGCTTGATGATGCTCTCTAGTGGCCGCGAGACGGACATGTACTTGGGGACGAAATCCCCGCCCAGCTGCTGTTTGAGGATATTCGGGCTGAGATCGGTGGGAGCCGGGTCGTACTTGGGATCGGGTGATTCCTGTAGCGGCTTAATCGGCAGATCATCCGAGGCTTTGGGAACATTAAACTGAGCGGAAGAAAACTTTGAGAAATCCGATAGCAGGATTACGCTAATGACATAACACTGCATCTGAGCAATAAACATCCACGGATGCGACATGACGACAGCGACATGCAATCGCTCCCACAATAAATACAGCCACACACATATAGAGACCGGCTTTATTCAAGCAACAACAGCAGCAGCAGCACCGAGCCCATACAGTGGCACGCATCATATTCCCATTTAGCTGCCACACACCATCCAGCCTAATCGGACAAAATGAGTGGCCTCCATTGATAGATTAGGGAGCGCGCACACGGCGCGTAAGCAACGCTCGACTATGCCGTGCCGCTGGTTATGACAATACACCTATGACGGCAATTAAGTGTAATGGAAGAGCCGGTAAAAACATTTGTGTGAAGGAGATAAATGATGAGGAAAAAAATCCAGGCCACGGGTCAACAGCCATCCATGTAGTCGGCCTGCTGGGTTGAAATATACGGCAACGCGGTTCAGGGTGAAGATGTGCTAGATGTGAGTGTGTGACCAAGCGGCTAATTCGTCTAAACTATCAACGACAAAAACTGAGCGCCAACTGAATAGCAGCGTATAATGCCGGGCGTATGACGGGCCATAGATGTCCAAATATCATGTGTGGATCATTTAACCCGCTTAACTGTGCACCGCACGCCGTGACTGCCAATTGCCGGGGATGCTGCTGAACGGTTACTGCAGGATTAGGAGGCGATGATGGGCGCCGAGTGTGTAAAATATCGCCGTGTTAGGCCCGGGGAACCGGGTGGGCGATGGTGTGAAATATCGACCAATAAGGGGTGAGAAGTGCCGGGCGGTCTTTCACACGCGCGGGCAGCTGTTATGCAGCCGTTGTGTGAACTGTGAAATGGGCTGGATTTATGATGTGCGGTATAGTATACACGGGAAAACTGACTATACAGATCGATGCAGCGTCCATGGCCGCTGAGTAAACAGGCCAAATCAGATACCCTTAGTTTGATTGAAACAAACACGACGCTAGCCGGTATTATTTGCCATGGAAGAAAGATGTTGATGGATAGCAAAACGAGAGATGATGCCAGGATAAATAATACATTAGTTGCTTAGCGACCATTATATCCGATTCCCGGACGCGGTTGCGTAAGCGCGCGCGCCTTTTACCAGATTGACTTTCAACGGCGCGGGATCAGTTGACGTCTTTGATTTAATTTTTTATTAAGCAAATTTCCTACAGTACCTTCTTGATCCTACATGATCAGGAATTTAACGTCTTCTCGGAAAATAATTAAGTTTGAATGATGCAAAACAAAAAATTATAGGGAAAGGGATGGCTACTGACTGAGATTTCGGCTTTTATATAGTCTCTAGTTTTTTGAGGATTTTCTTTTGTCGAGTAATGAAAGGGTGAAAGACTGGGATGATTAAGCGCCATCCTCAGCCATGAAGGGCTCTTGTGCCAACCGGAAGGAAGACATTTCCAGTGGGGCTTAGAGGAGTCAGACCAAATGAGCCAGTTGATTGCCGCACGCTCCCTTGACAGGAAAAATGACAGTTATCATCGGAGGCCATTTATGAATTTGCCGGGCCCGCTCAGTCTCCCGTCTCCTTCCCTCTCTGTTCATTTACGCGCATGCAGCGATCAAGGCACGATGACTATACATGTCCAGAGCATCCATATTTCCTCTTTCCTTAAATGAACCCCGGCTTTTTCCGTTTCTGTACCGCTTGTTACATAAACGACAAGCGCGAGCATCGTATATGAAAAAACCATTACGTCGTGTACGTGCTGCGCTACAAAAGGGCTCATGCGCCATATCCAACAGTGTACACACCATGTCCTTGTTATTGTTTAGCCAAGGGCCCATGTTTAAACGGTCAAAAGACAAGGAAATGGAGGCCGCATTGTTGGGAGCGAATGTATGTGTGTGTTGTGTTGTGAATATGTTCTATGATTAGAAAGTAGGTCGATGCCACCTTTACCGCCGGGTTGGTGGCAATGGGTGCCCCTGTGTACTTAGTCCTGACAATGATGTAATGACACTCTTTTCTTCCCCCACTATGTCATCCGGTTGCTGGAGCTGCTCTTGTGATCCTGCTGCGGCATATATACACCCGGGCGCCCGGGATAATCAGGGCCAAATGTAATCGGTCCCGCTTATTCACCGTCGGGGTCGCCGCGTTTCGGCACTGCCCGGCCCGTTTTCTCCCGGCTCCCCTCTCGTTCGTCAAATTGAGTTATGTCACATCCTTCCCTCTTGGCCGGCATGCATATACTCAGAAGAGACCATCCTGATTGCGTAATGAGGCGGCTGCGGTGTTTTCTCTCGCGTCTCCCTTTCTTCCTCTCTCCCGCGCTCTCTTACGTTGATTATCCATCCTGTGTAAGTGTGTGTGTAGGAGAATGTGGGTTAGGGACTGATCAATGCTGGATGATGTGTGGGGATTATGTTATTGTAACCTCGAGGAGAACGCGCACGACGGCCACTGCCGTACCGGCTGCATAAGACACTCGGACGCCGCTAAGAACGACTGGAGGGCCGTTTAAGGGTTAATTGTGCAAAACAGATAAGTGGCGGGATGCTACCGGAAAAGGAACATTTCAATGAGGATGCGCCGAGCGGGAAGTGATCGACAGACATTTCTGAATCGGGAAGCAATTCACGGCTAAAGCTCCGGCCCGATGCGCTGTGCTGGCTCGAAAAGCGTGATTTGGCTGCAATAGTTTAATCCGTTGTAATATGTTGCACAATTAATACACCATAACACAGTGTAATACAGTATTATAATTATTATTATGATTCTCAGAAGATGCCGATTATTCATAATTGCTTGTATCCGCGCATTTTATATTTGTCTACGTAAATGATTAAGTGGATAACAAATTCCCTAGGCTGGTTAATGACCCATAAATAATTTTGGTGTAGCTTGTTTTGCATTTGTTGTTATGTACTGCAATCATTTAATTACCGCTACTTACATTTACTTGCATTAAGTGGGTATTCTTCCTGCTGTATCACTATTAAAAAACGGCGTAACCCCATATGATATATAATTCTTTTTGATTTGGACTTAACGTAAAAGTCGGAAAAGAGAAGTGTTTCTTCAGTCAATGGTCAAACTTATTAATTTCCGTGTGTGTAACAGGTTTTAAGATTGCCGCGAAAAATACAAGTATACATTTCATTGGGCCGGCTGAACGTTTACGGTTGTTGGAAATTTTCAATTACAAAATTATTAATTCATTCAGTGCCGGTGAGCATGTAAGATGCCGCCGCCTGACGCCGTCTTAAAATTCCAGGTACGCATTCATCAAACACATATTTCCATCCATCCCCGCCTGTCCCGCTCTCTCTTGGCGGTGGCGATTATGAGTCAATACACCCATGATTTTCCTCGCCACGACGTGTGAAGCGCGCGTTTTCAAGACATTATTGGGCTTAATCAGATATTAATCGCCTGAATGAATTTTGACCGCCGTCGCCGTCGCCTTCGCCGCCGCACGTTACCTGTAGCCCCGGTTGACACAGAGTAACCACTGGCCGGCAGCCGGGGGAAAACGTAAACAATTCATACAGCGCCGTTAATGTATAGCGAGAGCCGGATTGATTGAATGAGGCGCCGGCGACGACGTGTGAGTGGTCATAATTGTCAGAATGAATTTTACACTTGTCCCGTGGCGCTGTATACAGGCCGACCGATTCAGGCGCTATGAGTAGCCCTTGATCATTAATCCCCACTGCAATACACCTTCACATCCTGCATAATGCCGGCATTCTTTCCCATTTGACACATTGTAAAGACGTTTGAATAACGAAAGTAACAAAACTAACTTTAACGGCTTGGTTATAATGATATCGTGACTGTGATACCACTTTGTAAACCGTAGTAGACCCATGCTACCTACGAATTATAGTAAATTAAATATTGAAAACTAGAAAAGTTAAATGCAATTTTTTGCGGGCACACATGTATATATTAAGTACTAGGACTTATACTTCTGCAGCTTGTCCGTATAACAGCGTCATTTTCCTTAGTTGTAATGATATCAGTACTTTATTTTACTACCACGCTGTTGTTTACTAACAGCTAGCGATTTACGGACATAATATTATTGTAGAGAGCTACTACGTAGTAAGTACTGTCACTAAGTGTACTATCCTTAGGTAGCTGAAGGTAAACTTTCGGATCGGCAGAATCTTTCCACAAAATTATAAATTTAACTTAATGGACACTTGCATAAATGCTGGCGTACACAATCTAAATGTTACATACATAAATTTACATGATTGAACAATCCATGCTTAGATATTCTACGGGTCATTTTCTCTAAGGCGATTGTTATAAGTAAATGGCACATGTATTGTACCGGTATGTTCAGCACACGTACTTGTACAGGCGGTGCACGTGAAGCTCGTGTCATTTTTCTTTTTCAAATTTTTATTATACCTTCACTTAGTTATGCCAAATTATTTACTAAAAGCACCTAAGATAAGAATAATTAAGTTATTAGTCGTACACCGGGGACCAGGAAAAATTCAGACTTGCTGAAAACAACAGCAGTATGTAAAACTATGATTGTCAAAGCAGTAAATACTATGTGAACACAGAGTGGTAAGTACACGAAATAGCTGACCAGATACGTGCACAAGTACAGAGTACAACCGTACAACAAGAGCTAAACGCTTGCGAAGAGATTTACTGTCCTCTTTAGCACTTCCTCCATCTACAGCTGTACGCCATGATGGTAGCTTCGCCGATTCCTTCGAACGGCTCCCAAAAACACTATTGCTTGCAGAACATTTGCTTGAAGAGACGAATAATAACCGCTCGTAAATCAGACAAAACCAGGGTGAACAGAATGGGATCGATGATACACTCCAATTCGTAGACGACATTGCCAATCGTACGCAGCTCTTTGAAACTCGGAGTATTCACATAATCGTCACCCGCGACCGCCTGTACGAAGTTGTACACCTTAACCGGAGTCCAGCACACCAGCACGCCCAGGGTCATTGCCGTTAACACGTAGAATGGCTTTCGGGAACCGTCTTTATGTCGCACCGTAACAGCCTGTCGGAGATCCGTCGTGACCTTTTCCGCGATAACCGAAAACGTGCCCTGCATTGTACTTTCATTCCCATGGTTCCGCCCGGCAACTTTACGAGCGGTTAATCTTTTCCAGTACAGCAGTGGATACGTGCCCAAAATGACAAACATAGGAACTTGAAAAAACACTTTTAACAAGAACTGCGTATACGCTTTCTGCGCACCGGTTTTGACGTCACAAGAGTCGGCATTAAGGTCCGGACCACGATAGTACATGAAGTCAATGATAATGAAGGGCAGGAGGATGATGTGGCAGTATACAGCCGAACCAATGCAGATGCATTTGGCCATGGTACGCGTGTGGAGCTGCTTGTAGGAAATAGGGAACATGATCGCCCAGGCACGGTTCAGTGTGATGAGCAAATGCGCATGATTGACCATTGCACAACCAATATAGTCGTTGATAATGAAAAAACGACAAGCCGCCGTTTTCGGAAACCATTTCGTGCTCAGGGTGTCGATGATGCGCAGAGGATCAGCAATCGCCAGGTACAGGTTGTTGATGAACAGGTTCATCACGTAAAAGGAAAATGGTGACCGCAGCTCATGATGCATGGCATACATTATCAAAACAAAGCCGTTGGTCAAAAGGGAAAACAGCATGAGAGTCGCGGACGAGGCAATTGTTCCGTAATCGAAATCGGCAGTGTCGTTGGTCGATGTGTTAGAATCTTGATGGGATTTAAAGCTTGAGATGTTCGCAAACGTGAAGTTACTCGAAGCGTTCTGCATTTTGTGGAACAGTAAAGCTCACTTATTGCACTTTGTTCGTTCGGTAAAAAGGGCTTGAAAGAACAACTACCGTTCAGCTTTACTATCCAATGTCAATCTAAGCTTAAAAAATTCAGCCACTGTCCGTTTAAGCTTAATATATACCTTATGGTTTACCGGATATACTCGTCAATAAAACGCATAATTACCAAAATCACACAACGTCACCCGGAAACCTTCAACGGTTCCATGGATATTTCTACAGACGATAACGGCATTTTCAAGCCTTGTGCATTGTAGTAAGTAATCATAGTCGTGTTTACGCGTTGCTGCATCATCGTAATTCGTAAATGTATGCGTTGTGTTAATCTGGGTAATTTTCGGGTTCTTGATTAGTTCTGTTGTTGCACAGTCATTCTCACCTGAGGAAGTTTTTGCAGACTCTTAGAACCAGAAAATCCGAAATCGGAAAGCCTTATCTACCGGAAGCTTTCTTGTAATGTGTTAGAAAATATTACGGAAATTAGTAACCAAGTACGTTTGTCGCTAAGTAAGAAATACTACGATCGAATGTATAATAAATTTTGCTTTCTGGAATACATAATACATTGCAGTCACAAGTTGTGAATTCAGTTCAGCAAAAAAGCTTGTTGAAATGTGTAAGATAAAACATTACGGGTTATGGTTGCACGAGATCTTAAAATTTCGTGCAACCATTACCAGTAAAGAAATTTACCAAAATACCTTACATTCCGCTGTTTCAGCGTATCGAGTTATGGTCATTGTTTTATGAGGCTATATTACGATATATAGGAACAAGAATAACTGCCATTTTGGCAGACTGCAGTAGAAGGTAGGTAATGCCATTTTGGTTTACTTTTTAACAAACAGCAATTGCGATACCTATTGGTTTTAACTGCTATCTAATATCTCCATAAAATATTTTGGATTTGAAGATTCCGCTCACAGAATGTAGTTGAAGAGAAGCTCGCAGCGGCGAATTGCAGAAATAAAAAAAACACGGTCAGCGGCGTTTTGATCAGAATCTGATTTATTTTGCTGTGTTTTGCAGCGATTGCAAAATTAAAATAAAAGTCGCATAGTTTAGTTTTGATGAAAGCGAAATTCACGAAAAATATTTCCATGCTTTAATTGTTTTGCAAAATTTGCTATTTAAGCTGGATGAAACAAAACTATTACGTAGTATGTGACTGACTGCTATCGAAGTACGTGTAATGCTGCTATCTCGTAAAAGTATATACCGGTATGTGAATGCGCTAGGTATATTTATAGAAAATGATTAATCGGTTAACATTTTAATGTTTCAATACCGGTGCTTGAAGCACAAGAATTCAAAGACCAGTTAAATAATATTTACTAACAATGAGGCGTGTTAACATCTTATCGACCGGCATGCTACCAAACGCAAACGCTCTGATCGATTTTTGTAGAAATCAGTTATGAAGAAATGGCCATTTACGTGGTATAATATCCTGACAGCTTTGTATCCGCCGAACTTCATTGCTGGAATAATGCGCAGCGGTATACGGAAACGCTGAAAAGCGGCGTGCTGTTAAGAAAGCCGAATACGGATTAGATGGAATTCAAGGTTGTCATGCATCTGTATCCGGACAAACTTTTTCGCTAATGCATCCAAGAAAACTTACGCGCACATAATTGTACCTGTCCGAGTAACAAAAACCTCGCTATAACAAAGAACCACACGGCGCATTTCTTAGTTCCGTCAGTTTCCGGTATGCGTTGGGAGCATAACCTATGCGCCTCGAATCAAACCAATGCTTGCATTTAGTAGCTTATCTGAAACATTTCGCAAAAAAACCATCCAACTATGAATAGCTCTCTCATGAACAGGAAATTGTCCGAACCGTAAATCCGTCAAATGGTGTATCACAATACATCAGTCACGATGCTGCAGTATACCAACTACAGCATTCCGGCTCCATGAAATCAACAGGGAACGGTTTCGTGGTTTGTGTACGTTTCTCGCGAATGCTTCCTGGATGAGTTATTGTTAGTTATATTATTAACAACCAGGCACTTCCGGTAATACCTGGTGTAGTGCCGCATATACGGGCGCTGTATCCATATATAATATCGTGCACTGCCTGCAGGCGTATATTAATCAATTGCAGACAAAGCAGAACTAGTAAACTGGATTACATCTTTAACGCATCATTTCATGATTTCTTGTATATCACTTGATGAACAGGTTTACTTAAGTAACTGATCATGAACGCATCGTATAATCATACATTCCGGAATACATCACTGGACCTTTACCAAGGTTGCAATACATCGAGCAGCGGAGACTCACATGGCAGCTACGGTAAGATGGCCTTCCTCGGTATCAGTATGGGACTGACCTTTCTAACGAACGGCGGTGTCCTGGCGATTTTCTTCGCCTATCGTGAACTGCGCTCACCCTTTTCCTTTTATGTTATGAATTTGCTGTGTGTCAACCTGTACTTAGCGATCGCCAATCCCATGCGCATTATCGACAACATGAATACCCTATGGTTTCCCAAAACATGGGCCTGTAATTTTTTTATCGTTAACGATTGGATTGGCAGCGCTATACTCGGACACGCGCATCTGCTGATCACGTTGAACCGCGTCTGGGCGATCATGTTCCCCATTTCATACAAACACCTCCATACGCGCAACATGGCCAAATACATCTGCATTGGTTTCGCAGTGTACTGTCATGTGATGATCTTGCCCTTTATCCTCATCGACTTCATCTACTACCGTGGTCCAACACTCAACGTTCAGTATTGTGACGTCAACGTCGAAGCGCAGGGACAGTACTCCAATTTTCTGTTGTATGTGTTCTATCAAATGCCCATGTTTGCTGTTATCTGCGCCTATCCCTTGCTGTACTGGAAGAGTGCGACCGCGCGGAAGGTTACGGTGGCGAATGGGAATACGAGTAAAGTGCCCAGCGGAGCATCGGCTATGGATAAGACGATGGACACCCGCTTGTCAAATACGGGCTTGAAGCCAGCAAAACCGGTTAAGCAGAAGGATGGGACGCGAAAGCCTTTCTATGTTCTGACGGCCATGACGCTGAGTGTGCTGATTTGCTGGGGTCCAACAAAGGTGTACAACATAATCCAAAACGTATCGCCGTGGGACGAGTGCAATCAGGGTGTTGCGGAATTCCGGAAGATTGGTGAAGTTCTGTATGCGATGCAGATGTTTATTGATCCGGTGCTGTTTGCCATGGTTCTGTCTGATCTGCGGGCCGTCATTGGGAAACTCCTCCAGCAACTGTTCTGCAAAAGCTGAATTTCTCCAGCATCCCTTGGATTCGATAACAAAAGGATCTACGCTTTTCGAAAAAGCATACTTTTCTAGCTTAATATATCATTCATGGTTTTTGCTTGTATCAGGCAGATAATAATAATTATTATTATATTTATGCCGGTGGCCAGTATACGCAGAGTACGTAAACCCAGACAGTATGATACCCTGTTTTGGTTTGCTATATTCTCTGTCAGATGTTTATATAGGTGAACATTCGTGAAATCTATCAATACCATGCCTTTAACTGTACATACTGTTATTCCATATCTGTTGTACAGATCTGCTTGTTAAATTGTAAAACGCAGTTGCTACAGTATGGAACTGTTTTATATCATGTCCCGGTGATATCGTTTGTTGACTAACTTGATAACCAGTCTAAAGTTGTAAACCAGAAAACTGATCTTCACCAGATGCCGTCGCTAGCATCGCACGCAAAAAAAAAACTTGTAGTAGGACCGCACAAGAACAGCGCTGTTTAAAAAGCGGGTTAATGATAAATTTTGCTGCCCATATTTAATTTACAAAGTACAAACACAATGTACAAGCACCCGCTCAGGCGGCAGGCCAATACTGTGTCAAGAATAAGAAACAAATACAGTAAATCGATAGAATTAGGCAAACAGCATCACTATGTCTACGACAAAGCAGCTTGCTGCAACACAGGGAAATTAGCGTTTACAGCACAACCTCTTTAAAAAGTTTGCGGTGACCTCATGTAAATCCGACAAAACTAGAATAAACAGAACAGGATCAACGAAACACTGCATTTCGAACAAAATTTCTCCGATCTTTTGTACTACTCCCAGATTCACCATATAGTATCACCTAGCGCGGACTGAAGGATGTTAACAGCCTTCGTTGGTCCCCAGCAAACCAGTACACCCAAGGTCATTGCCGTTAAAACATAAAACGGTTTCGGAGTACCATTTCTTTGAAGCGTGCTAACTGCGTATCTTGGGTGCACTGTTGCGTTTTCCTTAGTCGTTACCCCATCTTGCAGCGAGTTCTGGCCCAGCTGATGCCTTAAAGCAATTTTCCGATTCCGCGTCGCTCGTCCCTTCCAGTACAGGAGTGGATATGCGCATAAAATAATGAAAAAAGGCAGCTGGAAAAAGACGCTAAGAAGAAATTGCGCGTATATTTTTTGGGAATCGGTATCGACGTCGCAGTATAAGATGTTGAATTCTGGGCCACGGTAGTAGACAAAGTCGATGATGATAAAAGGCAAGATCAACCCGTGACAGTATACACCAAACCCAAGGCAAATGCATTTGGCCATGGTTCGCGTATGGAGGTGTTTGTACGAAATGGGGAGCATGATCGCCCAGACGCGGTTCAAAGTGATCAGCAAATGCGCATGATTTACGAGTGCACAACCAATATAGTCGTTGATAATGTAGAAGCGGCAAGCCTCAGATGTTGGAAACCATTCTGTATGCATACTGTCAATGATGCGCAGAGGGTCAGCAACTGCCAGGTAAAGGTTGCTGCATAGCAAATTTATAATATAAACGGAAAACGGTGTACGTAGTTCTCGATGGGTGAGGAAAATCGTTAGAACACCACAGTTTGTGAAAACTGCTAACATCTTAATCGTGCTAGAGAATGTTATTTCTCCGTAATTTGTATCGTAACTTCCGTTGTTTGACGTATTCGAAGCAAAAGCCGAAAAACTGGTAGTTGCAGAATTGATTCCAAATACTGTAATGTTGCCGCTGATATTCATCATGCTGTAAAACCTTTTCCGGTTCAGTTTAAATATAAGTATCATATCTTGAGTCCTCACATAGTAACAATCTCGAAGCGACCCCGTAGAGAAGTTCAGCCTGGAAATGAAATTGCTTATTCAGCGCTCCGAGAAAATTTCCAGCTGTTTAGATTGAAAATGGATACGGTAATGTCAAAAATGCAGCGGGAATGCGATTACTTGCTGGATTCGAGAAAGCACGGGATTACCGGCTTAGTTTATCACCTTCAGATTATCCTCTACATAACACCCAGGAAATTAAACATACCGTCAGATTACGAACAGCCACCAACATGTATAAGAAGCAGACCCATTAGACATACTAACTGCCGCTTTAACATCAAGATTTTCCGACTTTAAAAATGGGAACCTAGGTAGCCAACTTCATGTCCATGTAAAGTCGATTAATGAACAGAATACGAGAAAGATGCTACCGGAAGCTTGAAGTAATTCTCTATTTGATTAATCGCATCAACAAACCGAACTCTGAATTTAAGTGACTTCTGTTTTGCGTACAGTCATCCAAAAGCTAGGTGGATAATCACTAGGGTAGCCTAGAACAGAGACATGGCTGCAAAAATTAACTCATCTTAAGGGATGTGGCCCGGTACATGGTACCAAAATAGTGTACATGCACGAAATATTTCACTCCCAGACCCTTTTTTCTCTTGTTTTATGACATTCTGTAGCCAGATGATTTGTATACACAGGCGAGAAAACCGTTTGTGCGCGCAACATCCCGTTCGGGAGTTATGGCCCTTAGAAAATTCCAAAAAGTTTAAATGCATTCAGGTGTATCAAAAGTCTCATTATGGACAGATCTCCTTCAAATTGTGCATGTTAATGCACATGGCCATGAAGATCCCTTTTACACCGATCCACTGTTCTAGCATCTTTTCAAATTTTAAAATAAATTTCAAAAATTTTAAAATTCATTTTAAAATTTGAAAAAAATCCACAGAAGTCTGGATCGGTGTAAAAACGACCTTCATGGCCATGTGCATTAACATGCACAATTTGAAGGAGATCTGTCCATAATGAGACTTTTGATACACCTGAATGCATTTAAACTTTTTGGAATTTTCTAAGAGCCATAACTCCCGAACGGGATGTTGCGCGCACAAACGGTTTTCTCGCCTGTGTATACAAATCATCTGACCACAGAATGTCATAAAACAAAAGAAAAAAGGGTTTGGGAGTGCGCGAAAGTGGAAGATTTCATGCATGTACACGATTTTGGTATCATGTACCGGGCCACTTCCCTTAATGTCGCTTTTAAAATTTAGCTGTACCTTTAATAAGTACATTCGTATCGTAGAACAAGTACAAACTTGGTACCAAAACAAAACGGCATTAATTTATAATAGAAAAACTTCCTCTATGCTATCCTGATCGGGGAGCGTATCCATTACACAAATCGCGTTTCCCCGTTGTACGATATTTGTATAGATACTCATGTCACTTAACACAGAAAATTTCTGACAACCATTATGACAAATATAAATTCAGGCAGCAAATTCTGCATAGGTTGAAGTCGATTAATATTCAATATGAGGAAGAGCGTATCGAAATTTGTGGGTTAATTGGTTTTTCATTAACGAGATGAGAAAATCAACCAGAATTTTGTGAACTTTATTACTGCCTTGCACAGTTAATGGGTAAAGTCGATCTCAAAGACACTAGAACATGCAGCGTCGAACATTTCGAGCGCTTACTGCTTGATCACAGGATGGGATAGGCTCACATAATCACAGCATTTCTCGAACCATATAGTTTTATTTGGCGGTTTAATTATTCGTTCTGGAATAAGGAAATACTTCAGCTGAGTCACTAAATTTATTAGATCTTGAACGACTGAATTGTTTGACATAGCAACAACAACAGCAAGGTGCGTAAAGTTCCGATCCATAAGAATCCGAAGTATTTTCAGCGTCCACCACATTGCAGCTGAAGGCTACTTAAGTAACTGAGCCGAATTGGCGTTTGCAATACAGTTGCTTACAAAGGTTTGCAATGACCGCTCGCAAATCCGATAAAACTAAAGTGTAAAGCACAGGATCAACGAAACACTGCATTTGAAACAAAATTTCCACGAGTTTTAATAATCCTCCTAGATTCACGATGTACTCATCACCAAGAGCGGACTGTATGATGTTAACAGCCTTTGTCGGTCCCCAGCAAATTAACACACTCAAGGTCATTGGCGATAATGCATAAAACGGTTTCCGGGTGCCATCTCTTTGTCGCGTGCTAACCACCTGTCTTGTGTGTACGGTTGTCTGCCCCATAACCGATACACCGCCTTCCAGCGTATTTTCGTCTACCTGACGCCTCCCAGCGACTTTTCGTGTTGCTCGACCCTTCCGATACAGCAGCGGATATGCGCACAAAATAACAAAAATAGGTAACTGGAAAAAGACGCCCATTAGGAATTGTGAATATATTTTCTGTGAATCGGTATCGACGTCGCAATAAGTGACGTTGAGCGATGGACCACGATAGTATACGAAGTCGATGCTAATAAAAGGAACGATCAGCGCGTGACAGTATAGAGCAAAACCAAAGCAAATGCATTTGGCAACGGTTCGCGTGTGAAGATGCTTGTACGAAAGTGGGAACATGATCGCCCAGACACGGTTCAGTGTGATACGCAGATGCGCATGACCGAGGGGCCAGGGTCAAAAAGAGGGAGGAATTTTGAGAGGGAGGAATTTCTGCGTGGTCAAAAAGAGGGAGGAATTTCTGAAGCGAGGGAGGGAGGAATTTTGATATGGTCAAAAGAGGGAGGAATTTTTTCGAAGTTCAAATGAAGTATTCGGGACCTCGAACTTGGGTCACCGAGGTCGGCACCGAGGTTTTCTCATTGAGCGGGCGAACGAAGCGAGCCTAGGTTTCTAATTCAAGACATGTTGAGGGTTTGATGAAACGGAAGTTCCAGTGACCTTTAGGTCGCCACGCGACCTTTGGGTCGCCACTGATTTTCATGGTGATTCCTATACACTTTGACATTCTGAGTCGAGCTGAAGTACTCGGGGACCTCGAATTGGGTCCCCGAGGTCACCATCACGACATGTGCCATATATGCACAATGTGATGTGCTGAGTGAAATTAAAGTCCTCGGGGACCACCGAACCCGGGTCCCAGAGGTTGCCACTACCATATGTAACATATATTCACTGTTTGCTGTGCTAAGTCGAGCTGAGGTGCTCCGGGACCTCGGAATCGCGTCCCTCGA